AAAGTTCCATACCAGACCCTTGATCCGAGCATAGGCCTGGCAGGGCCAGAAAGGGGGGGATGAGCGAGCAGCCCCCCCTCCCTCCCATACCAGGCCACATGCCCTCGGCACTGGGAGGGTGCTTTTCAGGGTGCCGATGGAGACTAGGGCTCTTCCCCACAAGCCCTGGGATGTTGGTTGTGGGGGTGCAGGCAGGGGGCTTTTCACATCAGGGTATCCCTTTAATAAAGGGGCACCGAGAAGCGGCCCCCCCTTGTGAATGAGTACCCATTCACTAAAGGGTTAAAATAAATTGTAAATTAAAAGACCAGACTTTTGAAAAAATCCTTTATTTAAAAACAAAAAATTGATCCGCCGACGTAGTCCAGGGTCAATCACGACATCCAGCGTTTTAATCCCGCACCCGCCGACTCATGACTTTGCCCAATCATGGCTCTTACAGAGTACTTTGTCCTGATTGGGCAAAGTCTTGCACCTGACCTTAACACCATTAAGAATGTTTAGGATGTGCTGGAGAAGACTTTACGCAGTGGCCGACTCTCCCATCACTACAAGATCTTGGTAAAAAATAAATGCAAATCTGGACAGACATAAATGTTGTGATATTGCATAAGCTTATTAAAATGATGCCATGGTGAATGTGTGCTATAATTAAGGCGGTCCAACGAAATATTAGAGTGTGTGACTTTTTTTTTGGCCAGGCAGTGTAGAATGTCTCTAACTACGTTAGAAAAGTTCAGTTAATGGTAAATTTACAAACCTTTCCTGCGCTTCTCCAGATATCCTGCCTTTGTAACCACGAGATCCTGAGCAGCCACTGGTTGATTTCCTGAAAAAATGAAGAAAAATGCTTTATATGCTGCAAGACACAAGTGTAAAATCACGCAATATTTCTAAACAGTAATAAGGAATTTGTCCTTCATTAATTCACTATTTCTTTTTTTGCAGCAAAATTCAGTTTTGTGTACGAAAAGTATATTCAGGTAAAACAACAATGGCTATGAGTCCATTTTATTTACAGAATATGTAAACCCTAAGGCCTCATTCATACGACAATTGGCCGGCACGTACAGTTCCGTGCTGCGTGCACGTACAGTTCCGTGCTGCGTGCACGGCTGTATCGGGCAGCTCCCAGGAAGGACAGGTGCTGCGTGTGATTAGTATGTAGCCCCTGTCCTTCTCTATCGGACTACACAGCCGTACGCCCCCCTACGCTCAATCCTCCTGCCCGTCCGTACGTGTGCGGGTGTCCCAGCTCGAACGCAGACAGGATACATCCTGTCAGTGTACAAGTACAGACACCCGCACGGACGTGCAGGGCGGGTGAGCGTAGGGCGGCGTACGGCCGTGTAGTCTGATAGAGAAGGATAGGGGCTGCATACTAATCACACACAACACCTGTCCTTCCCGGGAGCTGCCCTATACAGCCGTGCACGCAGCAAGAGCTGTAGCTGCCGGCCGATTCTCGCGTGAATGAAGCCTAACTATATGACATTAAAGCTTACCACACCCGTTACAATCTCCTCTACGTCTACCAACAACTATGTAGTGCATGGGCCCACCTGATTGGATACAAATTGCAGATTAGGTAGACCCACACATTACATAGTTTTGGTAAAGCTACAGTTGATATGGTCCGATTATAACATGTATGGTCAGGAGTGCCCCTAGACTTATTGCCACCTGGGGGGGAGGGTTGGGGTTATGGTGATGAAAGTTCCCAGGAGTGGGGTGCCAGTGTGGTGGTGCACATTATGGGGGGGATGGGGGTTTGGTGTTGATGAGAGTTATGGGGGAAAGGAGTGGGTGGGTGCTGGTGTGGTGGTTGCCAGGAGCTCGGTGGGATGCTAAGAGCTCTTACAAACCTGGTGGAACGCTTTTGCCGGAAAGGGGGTGGCAAGCATGCCCCTCCACGTGACCCAATGAGATGCCGTCTGAGGCAATTATCTCAGGCTGCCTCATTATAGGGACGTCCCTGTGTAAGTGACCCTTGTTTTTTTTAAAGCACTGGGTATCATAAACAATATCCAAGTTATTTTTAAAGTAATGTTTTTACTTCCTACATATACATATTCCCTAGCAACTGTGGTGCATCATTAATTAGGTTCTTCATGGTGATAATATTGAACCGTGCCTGTGCAAGGCGTGTTGACACTGGGAGAGTGAGACGGGATAAAGCAGGAGAACAATTGGGAGACAGGGCTAGATCTTTGTAACTCTGTAGCAGGCAGTGCCTACACAAGGACCTTCATGACAGGATCCCAAATACATATAAGGGAGCTGTTTTACCTGCCCAAGGATTTGTTCTGTCCATTTAGTCCTACGATTTACAAAGACCCCTCACACAACATGGCCAAGAGGATGGTTATGTTGCTGTTAAAGTGATATAAAGTCAAAAGGTTTTTAACCTATTTCAAATGTTGTTTAAATCACTTACAATGAATGGTGCTTCTTTGATGATTAAAAGTTTTAGTGTACTTGGCGTTTCCGAGGGCTACTTGGCTGTATCCCAATGGAAACGTGCTGCAAAAACGCCCCAAAGAAGCTCCTGTACTTCTTTGGGCGTAGGACATTTGTAGCGCGTTCATACGGCCTGTAATACGCCCAGGTGGGAACCATAACCATAGGAAATAATGGTATTTCGGTGTTTGAACGTTTGGCAGAGCGTAGGAACGCGCTACAAAACGCCCAGGTGTGAACCGGGCCTTAGGGTGGCTCCTTTCCCTTGCAGGATCCTATGGTGCCAAACTTGTGTGTGCTAGTAAGCTGTGTGTATCAACAAACACACAGGCACAGCAAGACAAATTCACTCACCCCCTCCCTTCTCCCCACTCCTCCTTCCTCCTCCAAGCTAGTACATGGACAGATGCTGGAGACTGAACTGTCCCCTGTGATCTTGTACTCAACAGGAAGTCCAGGGAAGTGGCACTGAGAAAGTTGGATCCAGATGGTGACTGTAAGTTTTTGGACAAATTGCTGGGCAATGTATACTTGCTTAATCTGGATTCATTATTGCAAAACAACAGGTTAAGAGTTTAATACAGGGCTGGGCAAACCTTGGCCCTCCAGCTGTGACATTGCAAGATTCTCACAGGCATGGCTCCAGAGACAGATGCATCATGGGATTTGTAGTTTCACCACAGCTGGGGGTCGGAGTTTGCCCACCCCTGGTTTAATACTACTTTAAGGAATACAGTCGTGTTCTCTCTTCACCCCCAGCCTGATGACTGGACAGAGATAGAGCAGCAGCAGACTGATGAGATTGTCCCCCTATTCACCCTGCTGTCTCCTCCTATCAGCATGTTCCTTGTCAACAATTTTGCATGCAGAAATCCTGACTGGCTCCTAGGCTTGCCCCTCCTTCTCCCTTTCTGCCGTAGTTTGAGTGCTGCTGTATAGGACTGATACCAAGTCAACTTCAGGTACTTACACAAGTTGCCTTTCAAAAAGTACATTTAATGATACATTAAAGTGGACCTTTACCAACTTTGCATGCTGATATAAAAACATCTTACATTAATTTGTTAAACAAACACATTTTTATTTTACTTCCTGGTCCTCTTTGTCACAAATTATGTAATTTGCCCAAGCGTTGCATTCTGGGAAGATTACACCAGCAGTGTATTGCTGGGAAATCTCATCTGTAATCTTACAAAATCTCATGGAAAGGCATTTTCCTCCCCTGAGATGATGTGCATGGTCACATGTCCTAGTCACATGTGCCAGAGTTCCAGGAAGTAAAGGGAAATATATTAATTTGCTCTTAGTAAAAACGGCCACAGTGAGAAGAATGGAGAGGAAATGAAAAATAAGGTATGCAAAAAATAAAAAAGCCAGAAGATATCTATAAATACCTGTTTGTAGATTGTCATCACTAGGGATGCACCAATACCTGTATTTCGGTATTGAGTACGAGTACCGATATTTTATATTTCTGGTACTCGCCTATATTGAATACCGGTACCGGAAGCCCCATTTAGGAAGCCAGGCGGCATGTAATGAGTTGACACCTGGATTCCTGATTAGCTAGGAAGCCAGGCGGCGTGTAAAGACTCACCACCCGGCTTCCGATCAGCAGGGAAGCCTTCCCCATGCTTCTCGTCACTAGGCTTTCTGGTCAATCAGGAAGCCGGGCGCCGTGTAATGACGCGGCGCCTGGCTTCCTGATTGGCCTGGAAGCTGGCTCCATGCTCTCCTGTCATGAGGTGACGAGGGAGTATGAAGCCGGCTTTCAGGCCAATCAGAAACCTGGGAGCTGCGTCATTACACGGCGCCTGGCTTCCTTATTGGCCAGCTTCCCAACCAATCAAGAAGCTGGGCAGTGAGTCATTACATGCTGCCTGGCTTCCTGATTGGCCCGGGAAGCCAGCTCAATGCTCTCTTGTCACATGTTACGAGGGAGCATGGAGCCGGCTTCCCGGCCAATCAGGAAGCTGGGCAGCATGTAATGACCCGCTGCCCGGCTTCCCGATACCGGAAGTATTGGGCTAGGCATCGGAGCATTTGGGCGAGTATGAGGTATCGGTGCATCCCTATTCATCGCTAAACATTTCTGAAAGTGTGTTTGTGTTATTTTGAAGTTCCTCTTTAATGAATACAGAGCTGTATTAATTTACATCTGTTATATCTGCCTGGAGTTCAGCTTTAAAAAGGAAACTATCCCTTGATAGCAATGTTGTTAATTGGTGGCAGAAGCCAGATTCCATGAAAACTCCAGTACAAAGAAGAAAATACATTCCTGAAAATTTGACACAAGGCTCTGTATGATTACTTCTGTGAAACACCAGAAGCTGAAATGCTGCCACTTCATCACTACCGTTTACAGCTTAACCCACAACGTAACAAATAGTTCTTCACTTTGTGCAAATGTTTTAAAAAATGTAATCATGTAATGACAGCTCGAAGGAAAAAAATAGACGGGAGGTTCAGCAAGGTCTACAGGACACATCATCTAAATTAGCCCTATTACGAGAAGCTGCAGCAGTAAAATAAGAAATACAATGAAAACATCGTAATTCAGGAGCCATTTTTTAACTCTGCAAGACAGAAGCGGCAAAATGAGCATCTGAGAGATTCATCTTTCTTAATAACCTGTGCCAAGTCGAGAAAAAGCACTCCACTCGAAAGGGTCCATCAGATATTTTGAATATTGCGCTGACTGCATTTCCGTCAAGTGGGAGCGGACAAATTCTGACATTTCCTGCTTTTAACACTGCACAAACGTATCTTTAATACCAACAGATAAGATTAGGGTATCATTGTCTCTGTTAACAGCAAAGATGCCCTTTTGGTGACAACTGTCTGGATTTTTGTTTTGTTTTGCTTCGACGTGTAACCTAGTATACTTAATAGGCGTCTAAATTTTCCCAACCGAGTATTCTAGAGATAGGAGTTTAAAGTGCATTTCCCTTTTCATAGCCAAATTGGGATAACACCTTTTTTATATTTGTTACATATTCCCATTCACACAGCATAAGCTTAAAAAAAAAAAAAAAAAAAACATTATTCTTGCAGTTCAAATTGTTTTTACTTGGGTTAAGGTTTTAATCATTTAAAATTTCTTTTAGCTTCTATTTCTTTGAAATGTTAAGAGGGGCTGTGAGGGGTGAGGGATCTAAGGTGGCTTGCTCATTGTATGATAATGAAGCTTATCAGATAAACACAATCCTCAAATTTCTGTCCCAAGTCTTTCTTTGGGGACAGACTACTGTGAAAGGGAAGAAAAACCTGGAATCAGCCATAATTTAACAAAACATCTAAAAAGTAAGAAATATTTTTTTAAAGTAATTTTTCGTTATGCTGTGTGAATAGGAACATATAGAGGGGTTT